GATAAGCCATTTCCACCCTAGAGTGGGTTTTTTCTTTGCGCGTCTAACTTTATGTCAGAGGGTCATTTGTTGACCATGGTTGGGTATGCCAAGGCCCTGGGCCCCGTAACATACTAGGGGCTGGTGTTTAAACGGAACGTTGTTCTCTGCCCCAGAACCCCAGAGATCTGCAGTGTGACGTCTCTCTTGGCACTCCTTAGCCATCGAGGATAGGTCTGCACCCCCAGATCCATCATCGTCTAGATGTGCCGCAAAAGTCTTCTCTATCCCTCGGGTCACTCTTGAAACTGGCAGCCGCCAAGTCTCTGATAAATGGGTCCAAACAGTATTATAAAGTATGGAATGTGCATATGCTCCACAATCCAAAGAGGCCCACCTTTTTCTTCGCAGTAGATGCTGAAAGAAGCAACCTGTTCGTTTCCTTAGAGAGGATGTTCTCAGCCTGTCCTGGAGCCCTAGGCTTCTTAAAAACGTAAGCAGCGTGCCCCGTCTCTTAATTTTTGTGGTGTGTGGTGTTCGTGTTTCATTAGGCCCACGAGGCTGCTTCCCATTTCTTGCTCCAGTTAACACGCGGTCGTCCGTATAGTGGACTAGAGTCACGTACTGTGGAAAGTCAAGATGGTCCGGGTCACTGCAGACTAAGTTTGGAGGGAGATCGGGAGAGTTCACATCACCAGCAGACAAGGGAGTAAGTAGCCTGTCTCTGCCCATGGACGGTAATTGTCATATTCGCACAAATAGCTGGGTACCCAGTGCCAGAAGCTATATAACGTCGTATCTAGCATGGCAAGTACTATTCGGGATTTCCACCACTTTTTGCTTACAGTGGTCCATCGTTATTTTTTCTGCAGGGTCATTAGAAGTATAGAAAAGGCGGTAGAAGGAGGGACCACTGCTCTTCCTCTCTAAGGCTTTGGTAGTGTTGTCATCTCGGCAGTTCTTCCCAGGGTACACGGTATTGCTGTTGAGTTACCATCTTGAGTGAGGAATACTCTTGCGGGGGAAAGTTTCAGAGGCTTCTACTCAGTCCTTCACACCCGAATGACACTTACTCCTCATATCAGACCCATCTGAGGGTCTCCCAGTCACACACTTGAAGTCAAGAAATAACTCCAGTCGCTCCCTCGCCCCCATAAGGCCCCATTCGAACCGGGACATAATGGCATTTAAGATTCCCCAGTATTGGTATAGTTTGGAGCTCTGATGTAATAGTCCTCAAAAAGTCTAGAGTCCTTTCCGCAGGGCACAGTCATCCATGCAGAAAAGTTCTTTGCTCTCTTCCCCGTTACACATGCTCTTTTCTCTGCCTGATATATTTCTCTCTCCCCTCTTTCCTTAGGTATTGCCTGACCTCCCTGACGAGGGTAGATCAGTCGTATGTTACTATGGTACCATGTGCCTTTTCTCTGCATTACTTAAAATAATTGTAGCTTTGTATTAATTTTCTGTGTTTTTCAGTGAATGCCAGTCTCTTCCTAAGGTCCTTGAGGGGAGTGTCCTTCCCTGCTTTGCGCTCTGCTCTCTCCCTAACTTGGTACCTGCATCGCATACTAGGAGCTTAATAACTATTTGAGGAATGAGTGAATCGTTAGGTGGACGGGACAAAGCAGTGGAGAACCCTGGCCTCAGGAGCCCCATTACTCTAGCTTAGCGATTCTCGGAAGCCCTCCCCAACCCTGTTTTAACATTTCTAATATCAATTGCTTTGGGCCGGGTAGCTGTTGTGAGTTTAGTTGTTATTGCCTGTGCATGCAGAGAAACCCCCCCAAAACCAAAAAGCAAGCAAACAAAAACTTGTAAAAAGGGTGTCAGCAGCTCGGAAGAAAATTCCAAGGACAGTACTAGAGCAACAGTCAAGATACACTGCATCAGCAAGGCTCTTGATGACACGAAGGGCCATGTTTTGCGGTCAAACAGTCATCTTGGAGCTGAAAAGTGAGGCAGAAGATTTGAAATCTGAATGTGAAGAAGTTCTAACAATAATCCATCTTTTTGGCTTCCATAATATCACTCTTGAGCACAAATAAAAAGATTAGCATATATCATGTTCTGCTTATCACGAGAGCCCATTCAGTAAGTATGATTTTTCTGTGATAAGAAATCAGTTATAGTTTAATTTGGCCATTTTTAAATTTCTTAGTGGTTCAGAGTAAGAGCTCATCATCATTTTAGAGTCGGTGAAATGTGATATTATATACAGTGGTCTTCAGGGCCTCTGTTAACATATATGGCCTCTAGTGTGAATTAGAAAGAGGCATTTCTTTCTCCAGGGCATCCTTGCAGCTGGATATAGGGGTCAGGGTGTCAGGCCCTCTCCACCAGCTGTCTTTGGGAAACGGAACCAGCAGTACCGTGCGTGGCCGCTTCAGCTAGCCTCAGCTTTATGAAGAATAATTCTCTTTCACAATTCAGAACAGAACATTCTCTGTAGTTTTAGGCACTGCTGTCCTGTTCTAGCATGGTGTGACTTGGAAGAAAGGTCACAGGAAAACTTAGACTATATAGCAAAGTGAGTATCATTCGGAAGAATAGGTTTCTATTTCTTTAATTTTTATTTTATATTGGAGTATAGTTGATTCACGATGTTGTGCTAGTTTTAGGTGTGCAGCAAAGTGATTCAGTTATACATATACACATATCCATTCTTTTTCAGATTCTTTTCCCATATAGGTCATTACAGAATACTGAGTAGAGTTCCCTGTGATAAGTTTCTGTTCTTAAAAAGGATTCTCTTTAAGGAATTTTTTTTTTCTAATGGATAAGCCTATTGTGAAGAAGTTTTGATCTGAGAATATCAGGGTGTTTCTGGGTAGACAGGAAGTCTAGCAGAATTTCATTTTGATTGAGACTGTCCGGGTCAGTGACCTCATAATCTTTTTAGAATGAAACTCTGGCAGTGAAGCATTCCAATCCCACTCCTGGGAACTTTGGTCAGCTCCTGAAAGGCGGGCGTGCCTTTGATGTTTGACGTAGACTTTGATGTTTATGTCAGTGTTTTTGTTTGACCATATACTCTGGAACTGCTTTTCATACTGCTGGTGTCAAAATTTAAATTTCTACAACTTTACTTTGCCGCAGCCGCTAAACCGAATTTACTCACTGCCATTAAGATATTGAATACAATTAGGAAATGTTCTACTAAATTAATACTTTTATGCAGGGCCTGCCATAAGGATACTGATAAGAAACTAATCAAGGAAGATGTTAGTTCCTGTTGTGGGAAACATTCAAACTTAAACATTAAGTACTTAGATTCTAGATACCTTCCAACTATCTGAAAGGCATTTCTGTTATGAATTGGAAGGTTTATAATTTCTCTTTTAGGTCTATAATTTATATTCCAATCTAGCATCTAATTTTATGTAAAGTAGCTTTTCCTGCTTACGATTCCCTTCTCCATCCCCCAGTCTCACTGTAGGACAGACAGAGAAGTGTACTTTGCAGTAACCTGACCTCTGATTGCTGTCTGGGAGCACAGGTAATTATAAGAGATGAGAGGGGAAAGCTGCAACTCAAGAGATTAGGAGAAGCAAATCTGGCAGAACCACCATCTGTGGTACCTGGTAGGAAAAATCGTGTGTTTCAGTGCACAAGTCCTGTTTGCATCTCAGGGTAAACCACAAACTGAAATTTTCGCATCTTTTTGTTACCGACCAGAGATCTTGGCTTCCTTAATCAAAAGAAATGGATGAGCGGCCAGACAAGAAGTTCAGGCAAGGCTTTATTGGGGCCCCTGCTGCAGCAGAGGGGATCAGAAACAAGTAAAACGTTCCCTTGCTTGCTCGCTCCCCAAGGGGGCCCAGCTGGTTCCTTATGTGGGGTGAGGGTAGGGATGTGTCTGGGGGTTGGGCCGGAGGTGTGGCTTAGGTGGTCTGTCCACCCCTTAGGTGGTGCTGAGTGCAGGGGGCATGCGCAGTGCCCTGCTTTTGCTCCCGGCTCTTCAGAAATGGCAGTTGGGGTTTTTTCTGGTCTTTTTGTATCTTCTTGTCCATAATTTGCCCCAGCTGTGCATGCACGCAGCTATTTTTAGTCCCTTATAGTTACTTTGTATTTTGTTGCTGGAGGAGACGTTTTTCTAGGTGCAAGCACTGCAGCAGAGGGTCCCAGGTCCCAGCCTGTCTCATTTTCAGTGCTTTTTAGAAGTGTGATGTTATCCATTATCCAGAGGAATCCATAGTATTTTATTAATATGGGCCTCTGACCTTACCGCCCTAAAGTACGCATTGTAAAATATACAGGCAAAAGGAGTTTGAACTGGAGAAATTTAGGGTAATGCTTCCCGTTTCAGAATGTCCGTAGAAATATTCCACCGTAAGTGTGCACGTTACAGCTAAAACCATGAAAATGCTCATCTCGCACCAGTAGAAAACATTTTGTGCATGAAAGCGCTCATGGGGGATTTTTATCGTTAGCCACATTATTAGGCATCAACAAGCTGCTTACATGGATTTCTTAAAATTTGTTTGAAAAAACAACAACAGATCCTTGTTTTGACCATTTGATCACCATTAATCACTCCCAAGTCACAAAACGGTCAGGAGAAGTAAGTGGATGGAATTCGAGCATTTGCTTCTCATTTTTAGCTCTCATTTTAGACGCTTGCATGGGGTGAGAATAAGGAGCCGTAGGATTTTGTGAGGTTTTTATTACATCTGCTTACATTTTCTCTTTCCACCACTGCCCATCACTGATCATTAAAAAACAATTATCCTGATTTTTTATCTTGATTGGGAAAACTGTTGTCTGGTTCAATCTCATCTTTTTGGTATGTGACTAGATCTAAGATTTGAACAGTTGCAGTCCCGTTGCTGGTTATTTTTCCGGGGAGACTGAGGGGCAGGGAGAATCATCACAGTCATGGTTAATCAGTTCTGAGAATTTATCTCATATAACCCTGCTTTGACTTAACTGAATAATCAAGTAAGCAGCATTTTTAATATCTCACATAGGGAAAGACTCAAAGCTGGCTAACAGTGAAATTTCCCATTTTTCACTGGCAGGAACCCCAGCCCCATAATGGGGAAGGTCCCACCAGTGCGAAGGCCCCATATGGGGGCCCCTCCCCTAGTGAGGACATGTACCCCCGAAGAGGAGTCCCCCTGGCCGCTGGCCCCTGCCACCCCACCACGTGAGTACAGCCACGGCTCTGAGGACCTCAGCACGTTTTCCATTTCTTGGTGGCCGTTTGTCTGATGTGAGAATTAGCCAGACCCTCTTCCCTTTCATCCCCTTAAACACTTCAGAAAACGAGATGTAAGCCTCCTTTGGGTCCCTTTGCTTCATTTGGGCAAGTTTAATAGAAATTGTTTGGTTAGGAGGTGAAGGCTCTTGGTTGAGACTCAGCTTACGCGTAATTAGTGAAACAGTCTGTGGCTATCTGAGCAGTTCTGTTCCATGGAACTTTCTGCAGTGGTGGAAATGTTCCACAGCTGCACTTTCCAATACAGTAACCACTAACCACACGCGGCTACTGAGTGCTTGAAATGTAGTGCAACCGAGGAATTTAATTTTTAACTTAATTTAATTTTAATTCATGTAAATTTAATTCTCCATGTATGACTAGTGGCTGCTAAATTGGACAGTGAATATGCCTACACTTAACGCCATGGGCCTGAGCTGTCTTTGAACATTTCTACGGGTGTACCTCTCTACCTCTATTCCCTTAATAACCCAGAAAAATTTTCCTTGTATTATATGCATTATTGTAAATGTGATTCTGTAACAGTCAGAAAATACCTAAGTTAAAAATTCTCATCTCAAAATGTATTCACCCGTATTGCCCTTATGTAGCTTTAATTACTTTATGATCTTGAGAAATTCCGTCTTAAAATTATGAAGTAATATCTGTTTAAATATCCCAGCTTTATTTTCTTCTTCACACGTTTTAATTTGCAACTTCAATATATATATAGAAGTAATCACACACAGTAAAATACCTTTCTCATTTTATTATTCCTTTTTAAATGAGACTATAAAATATCCTACATTAGTACAGTAAGTGCAGTGCTATTACCAAAACATTAAATTCAGCATGTACTCATTATAATACAGTACTTAGAAGTTTCAAAGTTTGGTTCTGATAGGTGGGTTACTGAGATTACAGGTTAATTAAATTTGTAGTTTTAACTACTATAGTAAATGTCCTTCCATTATTGGGCTATCATTAAAGATTGCTTACACGGTAAGATGTGAATAAGGGAAATTATGTGCGGGGTATATGGGAACTCTCTGTACTATCTGTGCAGTTTTTCTATAGCTCTGAAACGATTCTCAAATTTCTTAAAGCTTATTTTTAAAAATTGCTTACATCGTATTTTCTCATGCCATCCATTTGTATCTGTTAACATAGCTGTGTATGCATCCAAAAGAAGAATCATCACATCAGCAGTGGGTAGCACTTACGTAAGTTTCACAGCATGGCAACTTCAGAACATCCCTGAGAGATAATATTGTCATAATTTTACAGGTGAGGAAGCTGAGGCACAGAATACACAGGAATTCAGCCAAGGTTACTTAGCTGGTCAGTGGCAGGACCAGAATTTGAACCTAGCAAGTCAGTCTTTTAACCACTGAACTGTGTTACCTCTTAAGGGATCTCGATTATGCAGGACAAGTTGTGTTCTCTCTGCTATCAACGTAGCAGGCAAACTTTCCACTCTAAGAAATCTAAAATAAAGTAATACGGTAATAAATTTCTTATACAACTTGAAAAACATAGAAGTATGCTTTGTGTTACAGTGATTTCGATTTTATTCTTTATACAGTGGTTCATTATTTTTATGAGGAATATGTTCATATTCTCTTGACGAGAAATGTCTGTGTTAGTGGGGTTTTAAGAAATTGATGTATGTTTCATTAAGACAGTAGGTGGCTAAGAATGAAAAAAAAGAGAGAGAGAGCAATATCTAAAGGGCAGGGGGGAGCGGATGTGGTTGGTTATCTCATAAAGACAAAGTTTTTATAAGACTGAATTTTTAAGGAACCTAGAGTAATTTGTGGCAGAGTATTTTATTATTACAGGGTTATTTTACCATTTTCCTATCACAGTGCTTTGTTTTGTCATATGCCTGTTAATGCTGTTGTTCCTATACATTAAATTCTAGATCTTTGATTGTTACTTTTCATTGTGAGCAAAAGAGAAAATACTTTAACCCATTTTTAAAGAGAGGGTTGGTGTGAATACGGTTTAAAGGAAGTTCAGCAGAGTAAATACCCAAAGTATTAACAACAGCAAGAAACCCAAGATCAAAGTTTTAGCATACTTTCTCTTTCTTCATGTTCACTTCTCATTTATAAATAGTACAAATACATTATACATGAAAGTTGTTAAGAGACTGAATCCTAAGAGTTCTCATTACAAGGAAAAAACTTTCTTTCTATTTCTTTAATTTTGTAGCATAAGAGATGATGGATGTTCACTAAACTTACTGTGATCATCATTTCATGGTGTATGTAAGTCAAGTCATTATGCTGCCCACCTTAAACTTATACAGTGCTGCGTGTCAATTATATCTCAATTAAACTGGAAGAAAAAAGAAATTTTTTTAAAATGGTACAACTTTTAGATGACTAGAACTGGTAGTTTGGGGATTTAAAAAATCCATTTATAAGCCTTTCTGAGTCCGGAAGGGAAATCACTGAAAATCCTAATAGAGTATAAATCAAGATATTGCACGTAAGCCACCTTACAAAGCAAATAATAATTAAAATTTTAATTATAGGTTTTCCTGATTGTCGGCAACTGACAGAGCTTTCTTCTAGGGCACAGTGTCACAGCTTTCTTTCCAGGGTGTATTTGCACACTGGCCCAGGAAGCACCTCTTAAGTTTTAAGATGTTAATAATACCTTGAGGACCCTCTTCCTGAGCGTCCCCAGAGTTGCTCTCACAGAAGACAAATGACCGAAAGCAAATAGCTCAGCCGCCTGCCGTAAAATAACCTGAAAGAAGCAGTTTTCTGTACTCTTGAGTTTCACGGTAGGGAAGCAGCATTTGTGAGATATTTGCAGATTGTGTAAAATTCTGACGCTGAGTTCAGGTACCTGTTAGAATCATAGGCTGACGCAACTTAACGGGAAGACTAAGCGACAGTGTTTTACTTTCCTCAGTTTTGTACTATTTGGATTTTTTATAAGCAAATGAGCTTTTTCGATGCTCATTAGCTGCTCTTAAATTTGATTGATTTTCATACTTTGTAACTGATTTTTTAAAACTTTGTAGTACTTACATGTAATAATTTACTTCTTTCATATGGTATGTTTATTAGTTATTAATTTATAGCAGATTATTAGAAAGAGTTTACTATTTTAGAAAAACGAAAAGCCTTGAAAAAGAATGGTTTATTTGAAATGGTGCTACCCATGAAAGGAGTCCCAGTTTTAAAAGCTGAGAGCTGGGTTAGACCTTTAAGGGCATCTCCTATCTAAGTGCTTTCCATCTGCCCTCTGAAATCCGATTTAAGCCTCATGTTCTGCCTCGTGTCTTCTTTAGTCTCAGAGAACTTTAAAACAGAAACTATGGAATAAATTCTCAGAAAGCCTAAGACAACAGAGTCGTAAGCTAGAGGAAGCTAGCAAGCAGATGTGATAGGAGGAACGCTAGCGCCTTTGCCTACATAGGGACAAGGAGAACTGTCACCTCGTAAACCAGAGAGCATAGCCCACGCCCCCACCTGCTGCCAGGGTCATCCGACAGCTGCCTTTCACTTTCGGGTGATGTGCGGGTATGCTTACATGAGAAATAATGCCGTGTAAACACACCTAGAATAACAGTGCTTTTCAAGCTGTATTTGAACTATGTGGAAGTCTTAAGGTGCCAAGCTTCTTAAACTGCATAAAATGCAAACACTAAAAGAAAAGCCTACCTCCTTTTAAGCCATACAATGTATTTACTAATCTAGCTGCAGTTGATCTCAGATTCTTCACATTGCACAGGAGATGTTAGGAACGTTTTTGGTCTGCTTGCGTTCCATGTGGCAGTGTGCTTTGCTCCTTGATGGATGTGTCAGAGATTCTCTCAAGTCAGGGGTGGGGACTTGATCCCAAAGAAGTCTAAGAGCTCACTAGGCTCGTCCTGGCTTTCTGCCATAGTCAGGGCTATCCCTGCCAAGAAACAGCTGACTGCAGGTTTTGCTCTCTCCTCTTTCTGGGAGACCTGAAACGCTGGCTTTCCAAAAGGCTTCCCGGCATGCAGAGTAAGTCGAGGGACAGAACTGTCAACAGAGCTGAAATTAAGCGATTCAGCTACCTAGCTGAACTCTCAGCGCCAACTTAAACGCCAATAGGAAGTGCCTTTTTTTTTTTTTTTTGGTTACGCCGGGTCTCAGTTGCGGCTGGCGTGCTCCTTAGTTGTGGCACGTGAACTCCTCGTTGCGGCATGCATGTGGGATCTAGTTCCCCGACCAGGGATCAAACCCGGGCCCCCTGCATTGGGGCGCAGAGTCTCAACCACTGGACCACCAGGGAAGTCCCGGAAGTGCCTTTTGCGTCTGCCAAACAAGTCAAGTAAATATGGGTAAATCAAAAAGTAAGGTAATCATGAGTCACCTGTGTTTTACGTACAGGCTGATTTAATAACTCAGATTCTACCTCATCTTTTGCAAGTGGTGGTGTGAACTAGCTCTCTCCTGCCTTAATTGAGGTGCCACACACGTTGAAACTAAACACAGATCGTGTGTGTGCTCACAAGTTATTGACCCCTCTTATGTTTTCAAAGCCTGCCAGTACTTTTTCGTATTTTTAATAAACAAATCTAACTATGGGAAGTTCCATAAAGGCCAGCCTGGGCTCCTGGGACTCTTGTTCTTGAAATTTATTTTTCATCCTTCAGTTATCTAGAACAAAATGAATTTTTTTTTTCTTTCATAAGCACTCTGCTCAGAGGTGGCTAGGAAAGATGAGAGACACTAAGAGCAAAACTTGTAACCAGTGCATATAGCTGAATTACACTCAAAATTAGTTCAGCTGCCATTAAAGTTTGCTTAACTGATACATTTTAGTTCTGCTCAGGCTTCTGAGCATGAGAAAATAAGTGAGTGCTAAAAGAACCATAACGTGTTTACAAACGCACGCACGATTATGAAGCAACATATGCGTGAACCAAAATATGAGGAGGAAAAAAGAAAAGCAAA